TGCACGTGTATGTTAACATCAAAGGGGTCTAATCAAAGAAAGATCGATTATTTTTTACGCTTTGAGTTGGGCGTTACAACTTGGTATCAGAGCAATGGTTCATTTTCCGTAGACTCACATTGGAAAGTAAATCTTAGGAGTGTTGTGTCACATATAAGTTGAATAATTTTATATTCTTTTTTTCTAATGAGGATCCTGAGCACTATGCCTGTCATGCTGTGCCATGCAAATTTTGAGGTAAAGAAAGTTTTACAAATGTGATTGCGTCTATGCGATGATTATAAGAATGTTTATTTGAGATGCAATATTTGAAATGTATGTATATTCAGCATATAGTTTGAATACCTTTTGTATCAAATTAGTAATGTACCAAGTATTTTTTTAGAGCGTGACAAGATTAAATGTTTGTTTTAGTCCTCAAGAATTAACTAAAACTTATTAGACACCCACTTATTGGATTTTGAACTTGTAGGAAGACGAGTTCATCGATGCCTCATCGATATGAGATCTTGAGTCAATATGAAGAGTATCGATGGAATCCAATGCGCAACATGGGCCAACACATTTGGGAGATGTTAGTAAGATGGAGGGAAGTGAGACAACTAGGCTATGTGGTCACTGGTCGTCGAGCCACCCGCCTCCTTATTGAGACATTGCTAGAAGAGTGGTTAGAGGTGGCCGAATCGATTTATAATTATTTATGGGAGGTTGCTGTGCCTAGGCCTTACCTCGAGAGATTGATTATGAGGTCTTCTGTGCATAGCTAATTAAGCGGTGGAGCTAGCCAGACTTAAGATCCCTGAGGACAATAGTGTACCTACCGAGATGCACATTCGTGAAGATGCACCTCCACCTATTTCGGATGATGAAGTTCAGTTTTATAAGAAACCTAGGATTCATGGAGGCTAGATTAATGATTATGATAGCAATGATGAATAAGTGAATTTTAGTAGTTTTTATCAGGTTTAATTGTTGTTGGTGTTTAGTAGAATTTCTTTTAGGATGCTATGGAATAGTGCCAGACGTTCTTTTACTTTTTTTTTGTCTCCCGAAGAATTTGTATGAGACAATAATAAAGGATATTGAGTTATGAATCTTTTTCATATATTGCGCAAATATCGTTGGCTCCTTTAAATGAGATTGCAATTACTCTAGCATATAGGAATATGGCACAACGAGGACAATTAGGGAGTTAAGGCAGGAGATTGATGAGTTGAGATAGGCCTTGGCTGCTCAGGTTACACCTCCAGCACCTTAAGCTTCACTAGTTCCACAAGCTCCGCTACCGCCACCAACATACTCGACTGCACCGCCTGTTCCAATGGTAGAACAATTTTGTAGATACCGATCACCTACCTTTGATGGTCGAAAGGAAGAGCAGTCGATGAGTGGTTGCGTACTATCGAGAAGATTTTTCGACACATCTCTTGCCCTGAAAATCAAAAAGTATTATGTGCAGAGTTTATGCTAATAGAGAGAGCATGCCATTGGTGGGGATCCACATCACGCACTCGCACCGAGGAGGAACAACATAACTTAATGTGGGATCTCTAGCTAATAGAGAAGTTTTTCCCACAAGCTATGCGAGACCACAAGGAGATGTAATTCTTAAGATTGGTATAGGGAGATATGGAACTTTCTGAGTATGAGAGCAAATTCGAGGAATTGTCCCGATATGCCCACATCTTGTAAGTGCCGAGCTCATGAAGGCAAAATGTTACAAGAGGGGGCCTGGGCCCAAAGATTAGGCAGATCGTGAGTTCACATGATCTCACAACTTTTCAAGCAGTGGTAAAGAAAGCTAAAATAGTGACCTACTCGGGGGTGAAGTTGGTAAATCATGGACAACATAAAGACTTCGGGAAAAGGAAGTGGCAGGACAAGAATAAGAATACGGGATAGTTTAAGAAGGAGATGCATGTGGGTCAGTCAAGCAATCCTATATCCCAATGTCCTAAGTGCAACAAGTTTCTCAAAGGAAAATGTCTGTATGGAAAGTATGTTTGCTATAAGTGTGGTCAACCCGGCCATGTGGCTTCTTCGTGCCCATCAATTAAGAAACCCGACAAGAGAAAAAGGGAAAAGCAAGGGTGTTTACTTTGACTCACGATGAGGCTGCTAAAAATCCAGACGTGATTGCAAGTATTTTATCCATCTCTGATATTCCTATTTACGTCCTGATTGATTTTGGTGCAATACATTCGCTCATATCTAATGCATGTCTAGCTAAGATTAATGTTTCATGTCAGAAGAATGATAGTGTACTAGTATGCCATCAGGTGGAACTATTGATACGGATAGGATAGCAAAAGGGGGTACAGATAGATTTTGATGGACTGACTTTAGAGGCTGACTTGTAGGTTATAGAGATGAAAGATTTTGATATTATTTTAGGTATGGACTAGTTGGGTGAGAATCGAGCCACGATAGTATGTTTTGAGAAAGAAGTAATTTTTCGAAGATCGAGAGAAGAGGAGTTCAGATTTTATGGAACGAGGATTAAGGCACTTTCTCACGTTATCTCAGCATTAAAAGCAGAGAGCGTGTTGAGAAAGGTTGACTATGAAGGATATCTTGTCAGTCTTACTAGCACATCCACTCAAGAGAAAGTATTAGGTGATGTGGCAATAGTACAAGAAAATGTTGACGTGTTTCCCAAAGATCTATCGGGTACTCTGGCTGATAGAAAACTGAAGTTCACAATAGATCTGATACCTAGAGCTACCCCTGTGTCCAAAGCTCCATACCGAATGGCACTAAAGGAATTACAGGATTTGAAGATGCAGCTTGAAGAACAAAGGGCTTATTAGACCAAGTGTATCTCCATGGGGAGCTCCGGTACTCTTTGTAAAAAGAAAGATGGTACTATGAGGATATGCATTGACTACCGTGAACTAAATAAGTTGACGATTAAGAATAAGTATCCCCTTCCTAGAATTGAGGACCTATTTGATCAGTTGAAGGGTACATTCGTGTTCTTGAAAATTGATCTAAGGTCAGGCTATCGTCAGTTGAAGATCAAGTCGACTGACATACCAAAGACGGCATTTAGGACCCGATATGGGCTAAGTTTACAGTGATGTCCTTTGGCTTGACGAATGCCCCAACGGTGTTTATGGACTTGATGGATAGAGTGTTCTATCGGTATTCGGACATGTTTGTCATCGTATTTATTGATGACATATTAATATACTCGAGAGATTCTCATCAACATGAAGAACATTTGAGGATAGTTTTAAATTCAAGAAATGTGAATTTTGGCTAGATTGAGTTGGATTTCTAGGCCATACTATTTCAGCATGAGGAGTTGAAGTGGATCAGTCCAAAGTTGAGGCTATGACCAATTGGTCGAAACCTACAAATGTTGGAGAAGTGCGGAGCTTTCTGGATTTAGCCAATTATTATCGAAGATTTATAGAAGGATTTTCCAAGATAGCAAGTTCTATGACACAATTGACTAGGAAGGGTACTAAGTTCTTATGGGTAGAGAAATGCGAGCAGAGTTTCCAGGAGTTAAAGGACAAACTCGTATCTGCACTAGTGTTGACTATTCCAAACGGTTCGGAAGGTTTTGTGATTTATAGTGATGCATCCAAGCTTGGTTTAGGATGTGTTTTAATGCAACATGGGAAAGTCATTACTTATGCTTCGAGGCAATTGAAGCAATATGAACAGAATTACCCTACACATGATCTTGAACTAGTAGCGGTAGTGCACGCCTTGAAGATTTGGCACCACAACCTACACGGGAGCAAATGTGAGATTTATACTGATCACAAGAGTTTCAAATACTTCTTTACCCAGAAAGAAATATGAGACAACGACAGTGGTTAGAATTGGTGAAGGATTACGACTGCACTATCTTGTACCATTCGGGTAAGGCCAATGTAGTTGCCGATGCATTGAGTAGAAAAACATGGGACGGTTGTCAGTACTTTGTACGAGGCAGGACCATTTAATCAGAGATTTTGAGAACCTGAGAATTGAAGTTTTAACGTCACCACTAAGGACATCGACAATGTTAGAAAGTTTTACTATGAAGCTGACACTCAGGGACAAAATAGTAGCTGCTCAGAAAAATGATCCTTTTTTGGAAAAGAGATTTGAAATAGTCGAAGATAAAACCTTGATGTTTAAGGGTTGATTATGTGTGTCGAAGGATGAAGTATTTAGGAATGAGATTATAGGTGGAACTAAAGTGTATAAAGATTTGCGTGATAGATTTTGGTGGAGAAATATGAAGGGGAAGTATAGCCTTGTTTGTGTCCAAATGTATGGTTTGTCAACAAGTAAAAGTTGAACATCAGAGGTCGTCAGGGCCATTGAATCCTATGGACATACCCGAATTGAAGTGGGAAAAGATTGCAATGTGGGTTTTCTTAGATCAGTGAGAGGTCATGATGCGATCTGGGTGATTATGGATCGACTTACAAAACCTGCTCATTTCTTGCCAGTTCGGACAACCTATACTTAGAACAGTTTGTACAGATTTATATTAGAGAGATTATGCGACTTTATGGTGTTTCAGTTTCTATTGTATCGGATAGAGAACCAAGGTTTACTTCGAAGTTTTGGATAAGCCTTTAGAAAGCTATGGGTACCAAGTTAACGATTAATACTGCATACCATCCTCAAATTGACAGACAATTTGAACGAATTATCCAAGTGCTTGAAGATATGTTGAAAGCTTGTGTCCTAGATTTGGGTGGCAAGTGGAAAGACCATTTGCCGTTCGTTGAATTTGCATACAACAATAGCTTCCAAGCTATTATTGGCATGGCACCATATGAGGCTTTGTATGGTCGTCAATGTCGTTCATCATTATACTGGGACAAAGTTGGTGAAAGGAAAGTTTTAGGTCCAAAATTGGTCGAGAAGACTTACATAAAATTAGATCAAGAATTAAGACCACCCAAGATCGTCAAAAGAGCTATGCTAACAAAAGGAAAAAAGAATTGACTTTTGAGGTTGGAGAGAAAGTGTTTCTCAAAGTGGCACCAATGAAAGGAATACTACGATTTGGGAAGAAAGGGAAATTGAGTCCAAGATTTATTGGTCCATTTGAGATTCTTGAAAAAATTGGGAATGTGGCATATCATTTAGCATTGCCACTCAAACTATCAGCAGTGCACGTCTTTCACGTTTCTATATTGAGAAAATACATTTCAAATCCTAACCATGTGGTGATGTTCGATCACTAGATGTTCACAATGATGTGATGTACGAAGAAGTTCCTGTAGTGATTCTAGAGAGAAAAGACCACGTTCTGATTCCATTAGTCAAAGCCTAGTGGAGTAGACATAGTGAGAGTGAGGCCACTTGGGAAAGGAAGAAGACATTTTAGCCAAGTATCCCGACTCCTTAAACAAGTAAGTTAAATTTTGAGGGTGAAATTATTTTAAGTGGGGGAGAGTTGTAGTGAACCAAAAAAAAAAAAAAATTTAAAAATGCCAAAGGTTATGAAATGCCAAAAGACTTTGCATTTATTTCTCACAAAAAATACATTGAAATGAAAACTAAATAATTTTTCTCTTAAATGTTCAATGAAGGGCTGCCAACATTTTTTTTAAAGGCCAATTGGATTTTACATTTCATTTCTTCTGAGTCATTTATACCCTCCATTTATACACACACACAAAATCGTTATCATCAAGCCCCCAAATTTTTATATGTGGTACATATATGAAAAATTTAGTCCCTGTAAAAATTTCATAAATTTTAACAAACATTTTCTTGGCTAAATATATTTTTCTTCTGTAGTTGTTCAATCCAAAATTGCTGAATCGCCTCCAAATGTTTTCCAAAACCAAATTTCGCCATAATTTTATAAGTTTACATGAATAACTACTTCCCATTATATTTTTATATGTTTTCAAAATGCAAAAACTTTCTAATTTACAAATTATTTTGGTTAACATCAAAGGGATCTAACCAAAGAAAGATCGATTATTTTTAATGCTTTGGGTTTCAAGAATTCGGGGCATTACACTAATACCCCGTTTGGCTCCCATTAAATTTTATTCCATTACATTCTATTTTTCTTTCTCCTATTTTCAACCATACAATCTTTCATAAAATAATATTACACGTAAATCGAAAAATTTTCGTTCTTTTTCAACCACTCATTTTTTAAAAAAAAAACACTATTTCATCAATTTTTATTACCAAAAAATGGGGGCCAAACGGGGGTTAAAATTCAATATTCTCTTTCACCTTTAAATACCATAAAAAGTTTTTATTATTTATCCTAGAAAATTTAGATACTCGTATACAGTGATAGCAGCAACACATACAAAAAATAAGTTTGGAACGTGAATTTGGATTTTGTCTTTCAAAAATTGATTTATCTCACAAGGTAGGATATCGAGGTGCAGCGTATTCTATCCCGTTTAATTATTCTTTTCGTATTGATAAATTATTGTACTCATGAAAGCTAGAGTTATGCTATGATATGAATGATATGGTCATTTTGGTACAAATGATATGGTATGAGCTTTTACCGGTTTCTAAAGATATAAGATGGTATGATTTTTCGGACACATGCTTTAAAATTTTTACTCGGAATTGCACCATAATTTTTTATGTCCTATTGAGTATTCTCATGTACTCACCATTTTTACTACTCATCACATATTAGAATATATAGTGGGTTGGCAAGTGAAGCAGTGCAGTCGTGATGCCAGCAATTGTGGAATTCAAAATAAATAAATTCTGAATAACATGACTATAGACTTTTATTTTTAGTGTTATTTTAGTTTTTATTTTCATGTGAAATTTTCTATTTAGGATTTGGGACATGTTTTGATTAATTATGTTTTCCATATGTTTTATTTATTTTATAGATGGAACTAGAAAACTTTTCATGTTGGGATATTTGATTGAGTTTATTTAATTATGGAATGAAAGTTTTAGTAATGATTTAAATTGTTCGAGTTTGGTTTGCTACAAAGGCTTATGGCATCTTGGCCATATTCACTAACTCATTAAAATTGTGACAAGTACAAATGAACCTAGAAGAAACATTATAAAGTTTCAAGTATTGGGCTTCAGGTAGAATAACCCTTCATTGCCTCCTTGTCCTTAGACTCCTACATTCTTAGAGTTGATAGAAGTATACTTGTTTTCAGAAGTGGAAGCAGTGTGAAAATTTAACCTTAGTCTCTAAAGACTATTTCACTACTCTCAACTCACTGAGACTTCTAGTAGACTCCTTACATTTAGCTACAAGTCTCTATCTTTCTAGTTCAAGTTCAATTTCATTGATATTTTTAACCATGACACTATTCATTTTTTCAGCTTAAGAATGTCTTCAAACAGTTTGTCATAAGTATCATAGATATACCACTCATCTACAAAATCTTCCTCAGAGAACTCAATTTGTTCTAAGCCGTCAACCTTCTCATTCTCTTCCCATATTCACTCTTAACAATAGAAGTGAATGCCAAATAGTTCAAATCCTCAAAGTTGGAATTCTCACATTGATTATTAGAGTTAGACTCGTTGTCAGTGATAGTTGCGTTCATGTCCCTGCCTAGGGTTTTCTTATAACTTGAGGCACTTTGCTATAATGTGATCAAATCCTTCACGACACTCATGACATCAGACTGATTGTGACTTTTTTTTCTAATAATCTTTCCTGAATGTACTATGGCCTTCCTCATATTTATTTTTAGGTTTCTTATTATTCCCAAAAGTTATTTTTAATTTCTTATTAAAATAAGTTCTTTCCTCATCATTAAATGTGTCGTCTTCGGTAGTGTTTAAATTGTTTTTCCCTAATTGTATTTAAGGCAGCAGACTTATCTTTCTTAGATTTAGATATGGTTAGCTTATAAGTTATGAGGGATCCGACTAATTCTTTTATCTTAACTATATATAAGTCTTTGCTCTCCTCGATAATTGTGATCTAAGGTCTAAATCTCTTAAGCAAGGATCTAAAGACTTTTCTCACTATTTTCATCTCGAGAAATTGTTTACCTAGGTTGAAACCAGAATTTACTATGTCAATCAACATCATATAGAAATCATCAAAGGATTTATATCCCTGATTTTAATCTCTTCAAACCAAGTGGTCAGCATCTAAAGCATAGAGTTTTTCACTATCTTAGTACCCTCATATGTGGTATCAAGAATGTCCCAAACTTCTTTCTCAATCTCACACGTTGACGGGTCACATGAACTTTTTAGGTGACACAGCCATAAATAGGGCATGACCTCGTTTACTATTCGAGTTACACTCTGTTAGGACATCATTGGTTTACATATTAACTTAACACACTCACAATTGCATGTGATAGGCCTGCGTTTTCAATACATTTAAATAAGAAGCAAAAAAGTTGCGCAAAACCTAGAACCTCTTTATCATTTTACTTTATTATGAATTGATCACAAGATTATGACAATAATGAAATAAACAAGAAAGCAAAATTAGGAACACCAAGATTTATGTGAAAATCCAAGATGGGAAAAATGATATATAGAGGAGAAGAAATCCACTATAATCAATAGCAATCGTATTTATAAGATCTCAATGCTCTCAACTGAGATCTAAAGCTTTCAAGATGTTATATGAATGTTATGAGAACAATACAAACCACAACTTATATATATAAGACCCTAGGATGCAAGTTGTAGATGAATAGAAGTTCAAAACCCATTAAAATGTGAAAACGTGTTTGGGCCGAATAACACTGTCGCTCAAGCAATGGACGGGCGAGAGGCGCGAATAGCCTTGTCGCTCGTGTGCCGGGCAGGTGACGGGTGAACAATAACTTTCTATTGAAAATACGATGACTTTTCTTCTTGGTCCATAATTTTGATACTCCAAGACCCACTAGAATTTGGCCACATTACAACAATTTTTTACCTTGAACCAAATTCAATACAAGGAATTCCAAAAACATATCTTTAAAGTAAACACCACTTCTCCTCTTCCAACCAAGCCCCAATAGGCTAAATCAATGATAAACATCAACTATGTTCAAGAAATGCTCAATTTAGCAATGGAAAGTGGTTTTGTCATCATATCAGTAGGATTATCCTTGATATCAAACTTGTTCACTACAATATCACAACAAGCACAATCACATCATGCACAAAATGATACTTCACATCAATGTACTTAGTCCTTTCATGGAACATTTGATTCTTAGTCAGAAAAATAGGACTTCGATTATCACAGTAAATAGTAGAAATCTGCAAGTCTTTACTGATTTCACCAATCAATTATCTCAACCATATAGCCTCCTTACATACCTCTCCGTAATGGCCATGTATTATGGTTCTGTTGTAGACAAAGCTACTATAGTTTGTAAAGTAACTTTCCAATTGATAGCACAGCCTCCAAGGGTAAACACATACCCTATAAGTGATTTCCTCTTATCAAGATCCCCTACACATTCTGAATCCACATACCCAATGAAGCCGTCTTAATTTCTGCCAAAATGGAAGCAAGCATTAGAGCCCTTCAAGTATCTGAATGTCCGTTGTACTAATTTCCAATGTTCCTTGTTAGGATTTTCCATGTACCTACAAACTGCACTGACTACATGTGAAAAGTCTGATCTTATACAAACCATAGTATACAAGAAGTAAACTAACTACGCTGGAATAAGGAACCCGAGACATATAATCAATGTCGTCATCTGATTAAGGACACAATCCAAATGATAATTTGAAGTGGACCAAGAAAGTGATGACAGCCTTAGCATTTAGCATATTGAACCTTTGAAGCACCTTCTCAATGTAACCCTTCTAACTCAAATACAATTTGCTAGTCTTTCTATCCCTCAAGACATCCATACCAAGAATTTTCTTCGCTCAACCCAAATTTTTCATCTCAAACTTCTTACCGAGTTAATATTTCACCTTTCCGACCTCTGCTTTATAAGGCTGCAATGAGTATGTCATCAAACATAATAGCAAATATGTAATCAATTCACTATCTTTCGTTCCAAAGTACACATAACTATCGTAATCACTTCTAATGAAACTATGAATGAATCGAACCTTTTGTAGCATTGCCTTGATGACTGCTTTAATCCATACAAAAACTTCTTCAACGAGCACACATAGTCTTCCTTTCCAGAAGTTATAAAACCCTCTGATTGTTGCATGTAAATATTCTCCATGCAAGAATACTGTCTTGACATCCATATGTTCAAGCTCCAAATCATTACTAGCCACTATCCCAAGTAAAGCCCGAATTAAACTATACTTTACAACCGACGAGAGCTCATCTGTAAAGTCAATGCTAGGAATATGACTATAGCCTTTTGCTCTCAATCTAGCCTTATTCCTAATATCTTCATTCTCTAATGTCCGCTCTTTCCTTTTGAGCACCCGTTTGTAGTGAACAACCCTTTTACCCTAATACCCACGAAGTCCCAAGTATAATTTTTATCTAATGACTCTCCTTTTGCATAGCAATCAACCATTTGCTAGAATCGCTGCAACTGACTACCTCTAAATATATAATAGGCTCTTCAGTGGAATCAATTTCTTCAGCCACATTCAAACATACGTTACCAAGTCTACTTCTTTGTACTTCTGTGGAGATTTAATCTGTTTGTGAGGTTATCCTTAGCAATTGAATACTGTAGTGCCTCAAGTGGTGTAGGAAAATTATTTTTATCTTTCAATTCTGAACAATTCTGAACTAGACTATTTTGAATTAGACTGTTTTGAAACCTTTGATTATTCCCCAGGACCAATTTCCAACTCCAACTAGGTTGAATGATTTTGTTCCTCATTTTTATTAGAATCCCCACGAGATGAATCAAATACTACATCTCTACTAACAACCACCTTTCTTGTCTCTAGATACCACACAATATATACCCCTTTACACCTTATTTATATACAAGAAAGAGACTTTCTAGTCCTAGGCTCGAATTTTCCATTACCACATAAGCATAAGCTGGACATCCAAAAATCTTCAAATTAGTAGAACAAGAAAGTTTACCTGACCATGGCTCTTCTGGTGTCTTTTTCACATTGGTAGTTGAAGGTGAGCAATTAATCAAAAAAAAAAAAAAAGCCATGGCAGCAGCTTTAGCCCAAAAAGTTTTAGGCAACCCAAGATTTGAAAGCATACACCAAGCCTTTTCCATCGAAGTTTTGTTCATCTATTCTACCACTCTATTCTGTTGGGGAGTTCCATACACTATGAAGTGTCTCAAGATGCCTTCATCCCTGTAAAAGCTATTGAATTCATCTGAACAAAACTCCAATCTATTCTTTCTGCGTAGACATTTAATCTGGTTTTCAGTATGCTTTTCTATCATTCTTTTCCACTCCTTGAAGACCCAAACACATCACTCTTCTATTTCAAGAAAAATACCCAAACTTTTCTAGAGAAATAATCAATCACTATCAACAAGTAATAAGCATATCATTTTGAAGGCACTTTGATCGGTCCCCCAAAGATTTGAATGGATATATTCAAGTGTTCCCTTTGTGCTGTGTTTTCCTGTAGTGAATCTAACTCTTTTCTATTTCTCAAAGACATAATTCTCAAAAAATTGCATCTTATTGGATTTCTACCCATTAAAAAGTCTCCTCCTACTCAATTCTATCATACCTATCTCACTCATAAGCCCAAGTCGTGTCTGCTAAAGTTTACCAACATCCTCATCAGTCAAAGAAGAAATAGAAATAGTTACATCTCTTGTAACTGTGGAACCCTACAAATGAACAATTGTGTAGAGTTTTATGTCCATTAATTACAACAAGAGATCCTGGACTCACTTTCAAAACTTCACCTTCACTAGTGTATTTATAACCTTCAAGTCAAGTATACTCAAA